AAAAGAAAAAAGAAAAAAAAAAAAAGAAAAAGAAAAAGAAAAAGAAAAAGAAAAAAGAAAAAAAGAAAGAAAGAAAGACAAAAATTAGTGGAAGCTATTAATTATCTTGCTGAGTTTCTGGAAAAATAATTTTCCAAGTTTCCTGGGAAAATAATTCCAAAGCTAGAAGTCCAATTGGACCATTTTCGAAACTCATCTCTAGCGTCATCCTTAAGACTTTGATTGGCTAGCGGATTTTAAAGATACTCTTGCTTGTTTGACTGAAAACTTTGAAGATTAGCATGGCCCTGCGTCATAAGAGCCCCTAACCAATTTAAATAAAATACCTTACGACTCGGGAAAAAAATTCTGAAAAGCTGAAATCCACAACGTTAATATGGTGACATATAACACCAAAAAGAACATAATCTTATGAAATACCTCAGCACGTGACTATGTCCCGCTGATAGCAGATGCACTAGTTGTGTACCTTTTCTTTCATTCCACAATTATTAGACATTTCAACATAATTTCGATTTTGATAGGAAGTGAGGTGGCCGTTTGAATTCAAGAATAAACTACCTAAAGTTTTTGCCCCATCGAAGAGCAATACAATTATACAATTATCCCGCTACGCRGTCGTGCGATTTCGTAATCGCGCGTTTGATTTCAGACCAAATTGCACTCCACTCAGTTCAATTACCATCATTAATTGGACAGGTCTTGTTGATATGGGATTAATTAGGCCGCTATATAATTAATAGGTAATGGGATTTCATGCTCCCCAATCAAGAAATAATTAGACTCGAAAAATTCCTCTGAATGCCAAATTGGACTCGGCCTACGGCCTCTTCCAATTTTGGAAGTCCTCGGAATTTGTCTCGTCCAATTATTTCTTAATTGGACAGCATGGAGTCCTGTTACATATACTAATTAATTATTTCTTTCTCTCCAATAATTAGTTGTAAAACTTCGAASAGATTTAGATAATTTGACAACATTACTTAAATCGTTTTGAACCAGATTTTGAAGATATCTCATGTAGATAAATGTCGTTAGGCCTTCTAGTATTGTAATTATAAATATCTAAATTACGATTAAATAAATTTCTTAGATATGAAGGACAGAAACCATTCAAGCAGCGGAAATTAAAACTGTAAGACACTTATGAAAAACCCATTGAAAGGAAAGATTTATGACGTAAGATTTAGGAAAAGGTAAGAGCACTCTAAGAGCTGACCCAGCAAATCGGTAGGTGGTGCTCGCTAGCTTAACTAGTAGAGAACAGATTATAATAAAAATACTTTGATGTTGCAAATAACTCTAAACAAGAGATTAGAAGAAGCCTTAGGAAGTGTTTGTTTATACAGTAAACAATCCTGCTCTTATCCAGTACGCATGTACAAAATTATACATGACCAAAACTTGTTTTTATTGGAAAAATACAGAAGACTTACAGCTGTTGTTAACTACAAAAAATACGTCTTAATTAAAACTGAAGTTCATGTCAATAAACAGATATTGATCCCTCAGATTAATAAACAAGTCATTACGAATGACTTACCATTGGTCAATGTTTTTCTCTAATATTTTCCCTTGATTAAATTTYCCCGTCTACAGTAGGAAAGTCTAGCTTTTCTTGGCATGATATTCATTGTGATTAGGGCGTTCAAACGTTTCGATGGCAAAACATCAAAAAAAGCCATCTTTCACTTCTTTACGGTAAAATATCCCTGGAACCAATTCGGTGATCACCGTTTTCCTTTTTCTTAAAATCAAACTATTACCAAAATCTCAAAATCTCAAAATCTCAAAATCTACAACATATGCAAATCTAAGAATATTCTGAGGGCGAGGAAATGCTTGGCACTAAATGTACGAAAAAAAATCCGGCCACCTGTAACGATTTCGAATGCTAATTTTGATTGCATAGCAAAGATAGAAAGTTAATTTCAGTAAAAAAAAAGACGAATTCGGTGATCCACATTATTTTATTTTATTTTTTGAACAAGAATATGTTTGGGTATCCTTATGYCAAGTTTAAAAAAATCTGATCGCAACCTTTATTTGCCCGCGAACATCCTTAACGAAGGCTTTATTCTGATAGCTAAGTCTCTCTTGTATAAATTAGTGTAACGCAGATGCCATCCATGCGCGTGTCAAATTGTTCTGAAGAATCTCATTCGAACTGATCTAATATATCCCCTTAGCATTTGTCTCAAGATGCCACAGGAGCTGAGAAAAAGATTTGTTCCAGCAAGACAACCACATACCTCCCCTCAGCCACATAATCTACAAGGTAATAGGTTGTCCAGGATAATATGTAGAAAGAAAAGTTCGCTGGAAGAATATTACATAATAAATGAATTGGTACTGATCTGACACATAATCCGGTTCAATTCTGCAGTAAACGGACAGTAGACTTACCATTAATAGAAGGAAAACCGTGTAAAGGATATATAATATTTTGGTTTCGATGCCAACCATCACCAGCAGGCGCCTACCAAACAAGACTGTTCAGAAGGAATGATTGTTACCCCGAAGGGCTTTGTAATTCAGGTTTAAAAACTTTGGTGACATCATGTATGTTGTTCAGCTGATATTAATCATGTGACTCCAATTGTCGGGTTTGATATCGAGTGAAGGGACTGGGGAGACTGAGCAGCTGTTAACCAGGCTAGATTAAATGAACCGTCGTCTATGCGGGCACTCGAACCATGAACATATCATCCAATACAATTCACGTCTAATATAAAGTCAGTATCATTTATTTTAAATAACAGCTACTTCGTCAATGAACGATATTTCTGTTTTAAAAATTATTGAAATTTTCCACTTTGTGTCTAAGTTTAGCATACTACCACATTTTAATATGTGATTAAGCATTTCATTAGTGAACTTAAAATAATACATCTAAAAATTTTGCGCTATCTGTTGGGATTGGCTAGCACCTAAAAACACTTGATCCCTTTGTTTCTACAGAGAGCTCTGATTGGATAGTTGTGGAAAGTGTAAAAAACATCGAAGTGATCAGGGTTCTAATATCCCCACGGTAATATATGTAGCATTAACAATTTTTATCTTAAATCGATCTATATCTAGATAATTATTAATGTATGGAAGACAGCGTTTTTAAACTTTAGGCTTTCTGTTGCAGCTTAAACTGTTTTAGCTAGAATAGCGCTCGTAAGTGCTAAATAACAGCCGTACAACAACTTAAAAACTATGTTTCAGTTAGTTTTACATTGCATGAGCTGCTGTTATTTCCTAACGACTGGTTCATGTTATTCTGACGCATCTCAGCCCTTATGAACTCCAAGGTGTTTTTCTCGGGGTGCAAAACAATTATGAATAGTTTGGGCCCAAAAATACAGCCTAGAAGACCATAGGAGCTGAGAAGAAGAGTAGTTCCTGATAGGACAGCAACGTACCATCCCTCCGCTGCATAATCTACAGGGTAATAGGTTATCCAGGATAACAGGAAGAT